GTACACCAGGCACTGTTATATTTACAAGCAATTTACATGTATCAATTTAATTCTCACAGTATCATTCTCAAGTGGATGAGACTATTGTCCCCATTTTACACAAAGAAATAGAAGCATGGAGAGGTTAAATAATCAGTTTTAGGTTACACAGCTAACAGATAATAGAGCAGTCTGGCTTCCAGCTGATGACTTCAAACTGCCTATAGTAATAAGCTTAGATTCTTTCTCATTCATCAGAATAAACCATAGATCATTATTAAAAGATGTGATTGTAATAAATGAACTTTACAATTTTAGGGAAAATGCCTTTTTTATCTTAGAGAAGGATTTCTTTTTTAAAAATTTTATGTATTTGGTACAGGATCTCACTGTGCAGCTTGGGACTCTTAGTGATCCTCCTGTTTTTAGCCTCCCCAGCACTGGGACTACAGGCATGCCCCACCACACCTAGTCTTGGTGGCCAGCTCAACGCACCTGGGGGTGGGGCTTGCATGGCATGTGGTGCCAGGGATTGAACTCCGGTCCCTGCACTTGCCTAAGCAGGCACTTAGTCCGCTGAGTTATCTCGCCGGCCCTGAGAAGGATTTCTTCAATAAGGTTGGAAAAATACAGATTATGAAGGGGGAAATCCATAATTTAGACTACATGAAAGTTTTCATGTCTGTAGGTCCCAAAGTGTTATATGCAAGACTAAAAGACATTTATTAGTTTGGGAGCATTGAAGTTAGTATAAAGAGGATACAAAAGCTAAAAGAGAAAAAACCCTACACCATAGGAAGTTGGGGAATAAGGAAAAGATGGGGAAAACTACATGGCCAAGAACTATATGAAATTATGCTCCATTTCACTTAGCAGCCAGGGAAATCAAAGTTAAAATAAACATGACATGTATTCACCCCTTCCTCACACATCAAATTGGGCAGAAAACACTGTCTCACACTCCTGAATGGTGGCAGGATATGGATAAAACCTCCCCACCTCTGGGGCCACATTAATGGACAGCTGGGCCATAATTAGTAGGGGTGAATCTGTTTGTCCTTGTCACCTCTACAAATAACCTGCTCTGCTTTAGCTCATGGAAGAAACAGATTATATAACAAAGACGTTGGTGTCCACTGATGCTGCAGAAAAGAGACAGCCACTACAGGAGGTTCTGGCTCTGACCAGCCATGGTTTGCCAGGCTCCCTGGTGCATGCTATCTGTCTGCACATCTGTGTCTTCCTCTATGGTGAGGATCTGTACCCACAGGCCTACGATCTAGTCACAGCACCTCCAAGCCACTTCCTGAAAATACAGACCTCCGTCTCACCAGTAGGATCAGGGTAGGCAAAAATAGCCTTGGCGGATCTATGCTGAGTGTAAACCTCACTGAGAGGGAGATATGCTGGGCTTGCTGCCCACTATTTTCTCAGCACTGCAACAGTGTGTGGAGGGTGGAGCCAGGGTCTAATAGCGCTGCCAGGGGAGCTGCTGCTCTCCTCCTCTCCTGGGCAGAGCCTAGTTTGGGGGCAGTGCTAGTGCAAGTGAAATTGGCAGCCCTTTCTTCTTGTTCAAGTGGGCAATGAGTGTGTAAGCCACGGCTTAATGCTTTTGGGTACCTGCCAGAGTCATGGTCGCTGAGTCATTTTCTGTGGGGGAATCCAGATGAGGTTTCTCTAAATCAGATACTGTAAAAGGGACTGTATGCTAGTACTTTTCTTAAAGGAGACAACGAGAAATACTTTTTTTTAGTTGAAATAATGTTTCCTGGAATTAAGATACAGAACTTTGGGGGCCTCTACCAAGTATGAACTCGTCTGATAATTGAGTGGGTCCCAACATGGTTTTTGACCAACAGTCGGGGCTACCCTCTCGGTCCCTGTCCTGGGCAGAAGTGTTGTTTGCCTGGGTCTGAAACAGGATTCATAGTTTCCATGGGCAGTTTTTATTAAGTGCAGAGTGCACTTGCACTTGGCAGTCTCCTCAGGAGATTTCTTTTTTGGTAGGTGGCTGTCCTATACCTTAAAGAACTGAGGCTCACTCCTCTGGTGTTTGAAAAGATTGTCCAAAGAGCCCTTGGCAGTGTGTATCTGTAGGTTCTATTGCTTTGTTCAGGTAGACAGTGTTAACTCATTCCCACAGAAACACCCACCCCAAGCTGAGGTGGAGTGTTCCCCCCCACCAACTTCTACCATGGCTTCCAGGGAAGAGTGGGCATTTGAATGAGATCAGCCTGGCATCTTCAATGGGACCAGAGCTGAAGATACTGTCTTCTCTGACACTCAACATTAGAATTTAGTTTTCTCTGAAAATTTAATACCAGGAAAAGTATTTATTTTTTCTGAATACTTTGCATGCTTTCTTAGGGATTGGGGAATGTGAAGGCTTCTTGTAGGTTATATAGAGCATGCTTTGGGCTGGGCATGGTGGTGCAGACCTATTATTCCAGCACCTGGGAGGCAAGAGCAGGAGGATCGCCATGAGTTGGAGGCCAGCCTGGACTATATAGTGAATTCAAGGTCAGTTCTGGGTTACATAGTTCAAGGCCAGCCTGAACTACACAGCAGGGCCTTCTCTTATAAGACAAACAAACAAACAAACAAACAAACAAACATGATTTGGGGCCCAGTGGTTTTTGGTTTCAGTCCTGAACCAACCATTTGCTGAGTGAATTTGGGCAGCTCAGTTACCCTGTTCCAATCCCAGTGACGTCATCTTAATTTTCCTTGGGATAATTTGGTAAACTGTCTCATATAGACTATAAGTGGTAAACAAATGTCAATTGTTAGAAAATCTGTTTTGATGCCAAGAAATCCAAAACTACAACAAGTATTGCAATATAATAATTATTTTAGGGGCTGGGGAGATGGCTCAGTAAGATAAGTGCTCACCTGGCAAGCCCAAGGGCCTGAGTTCAATCCCTGGTTCCGCAAAAAACAAACAAACAAACAAAACTATTTTACTTTAGCTTTCTCAGACAATATTCCTTTTTCTTCTAGTAATTTATGATTATGCATTTAAGTTTTATTTCTTTTCTTTTAATTATGTTTATTGGTACTATATATACCAATATTATATTACATATATGGTATTATATATTATATTATATTATATATATGGTAATATATATATATATATATATATAATAACATTCATCATAGGGAATTTGTTCCTGTACATGACACAACTTGTACAGGAACAAATTCCTTATGATGACACAACTTGATTCTTTTTTTGCCCTATTGCCTTACCTTCCCTTCAACCCCCTTCCTGTCCTTATTTTATTTCCTTTCCTTCTTTTATTTATTTATTTTTTATGTGCAGAATATATTTATTGGGGGAAAGAAAGCTCCTGTCCAAGAGAGGGACAGGAGGGGGTATTTTTTTATATTTATATGTATTTAGTACAGGGTCTACAGGGTCTCACTACTCAGATCAGACTCCTAGTGATTCTTCTATTTTCAGCCTCCCAAGAGCTGGGATTACAGGAGTGCACCACTGTGCTCAGTCTCAATTGCTGCCTCAGTACACCTTGGGGTGGGGCCGGCTCAGCACGCTAGGGATCGAACTCTATTTTTTCCTTCTTTTCTTACCTTTTCTCCTTCTTCCTTTCCTCCCTATTCTCTTTCCCCACCCCTAATTCCTCTTCCCATTTGAACATTTTCTTCCTATTTCACAATATCTGCTATGCACTTTGGTCCTTATTTACACTTTCTGTTTCTCATACCAGGGTAAATTTTATTTCAATAAAGCCACAGTTTAGTATTGTAGTCTGCTTTGAATCTTCTTTGAGAAACAGGTAGGGGATAAATAAAGTGGGGCAACAGATTTTGGCTAATTTGTCCCACTCTTTTTGTTTGTCTGTTGCCGATTTTTTGAGCAGGCTCTCACATGTAGTCTAGACTAATCTGTTTTTTTTTCTTAAATTTTTATTATTTATTTATTTGATACAGGGTCTCCCTATGCAGTTCAGACTCATAGTGATCCTCCTATCTCAACCTTGGTTCTAGGTCCAGCATGGCATGTGGTGTGGGGATTGAACTCGGATACTTGGGCTTGCCAGGCAAGTGCTTAGACTATCTTAGCTATCTCCCCAGCCCAATCTAGGCTAGTCTTAAACTCACTCTCTAGCCTAGTCTGGCCCAAAACATGAGATCCAGAGTGCTGGGATAACAGATGTATGTGTCTCAGCCGGCTAATTTTTGCCACACTTATTTCCTTCCCTCAACTCCCAGGCTATAAATCCAGTGTGGCTGCATCCTTGGGCAAGTTGCTGTAGGGATGTTTGCTGGGAGGTGGGCTGCTGTGTGGTTCGGTTGCACCTTTTCCTCTTACTCTGATCACTGATGGGCATCCCTAAGTTCAGCAAATAAATGCTGTGGTCGGGTGGTCCTGGGGTTAGGCTTCTGTTGACCCAGAGAAAGGGAAGCACTGTGCACTCCATGCAGTGAGGAGAGCCACAGGGTCATGTTATCCCTGTGTCCAGGCTCCTGCTCCAAAGCATTCCATGATTTATTTGGGCCTCCTCTCTTTGAGAAAGAAGGAACAGTATCTTCCTCCATGCCCATGTCCATTGTGTGCCCCACAGCCATCTCTGTTCTCTCCCTTGCCCCAACACTCTTCTCCTGGCAAGATGTCATTGTATTTATTTTTGAGTTCTCCCTCCCTGAGACTCATCTGGGAGGGCACAAGCAGGAGGGGGCCTTGGAGCTGCAGCTCTCACCTGCACATTCTTGCTGTTCTCCTTCTTGGAAGCTCCTGGATTTCCTCATGGCTTTCACCTTCCTCAATGGCTGCCACTTTCTCAAGAGTTCACTTTGTATGTGGCTGTTGAACTTTGATTCAGTGACTCATGCTGAGGTGAAAACATTAAGTTCTCCTCCCTTGTTTGATTGCTTTCTTCCTTTCCCCTAAAAAAAAAAAAACAAAACAAAAAACTCAAAGCCTAACCACCACCTCCGCAGCTGAATGAGACTCCTTACAGGAAGTGGGACATTGGTGTGAAGTGGCTTCCAGCAGTGGAGTGGCCCAAGCTGGCCACCCTTTCCTGACTCCAGAGACCCCTGGCGGTCTGGACCCCTTGCATCACCGTGGAGGTGGAGGCTGTGGGGCAGCCGGGCCAGCATCCATCAGGAGAAGCAGGAGGACACACCCTGCAGGTGAGTGTATGTGCCCAGGCCTTGGGCAGCGTGGCAGACAGTGTGCAGACTTCAGTCACAGGCTGGGAGCACAGATGATCCTTGGAGGGAGGTTGGGGAGAAGGGCCAGTTGGTGAGCAGTCATCTGACTTCTCACACCTGAAATTATTCTAAATGCTCAAATTGAAAAATAAGGTAAGCATCTTAAATTTCCTTGAGGGCCAATCCCTGTTTAGTTTTAGCAAAGATTTTATGGGGGAAAGATTAAGCTCTTCAGTTTAAGCAAAGCCTCCTGCATGGTGTCTGTAGGCATTTTAAAGATAAAGGAACACAGCTAGTTTACCCTGCCTTGGTGCTCATGAAGCATCTAAAGAATGGTTTGTTGGTAGCTAGTTTCCTGGCTGAGTGCAGATTAGGGACTCTGGGCAGTGGCCTCGAGCACCTTGCTTCTAGAGGGGGGCTTGTGAGCTGCAAGCAGGCAGACGAATAGATTGGACTCTTAAATCTGATTGTGCTGAAGATATTTTTCAGCTAATTTCCTGCAGTCATTAGAAACCTCAGTTCTGCCTCTCCAAGATTATAGGTTTTTCTCCTAGGCCAGAGGATGTACATGAATAGATTGGGATGCAGAATATAGGAGTGTTGCTCTGGAACGTGGATTAGGGCTGCAAATACCTGTATAGCATAAAGCCATACAGAAGGCACAGGTAACACAGCTGTACAGAAGATCTGGGGACAAGTTTAAGGAGAAAATGAATGGCCAGGCTGGCACTCCGATGCACACAGCAGCATTATAGCCATTGCCAAAAGTGCAGGCACATGAGATGTCACTGATGAATGGGTGGGTGAATGGAAAATGTAGTGTGTGCTGTACACACGCAGTATTATTCAACCTCAGAACTGAAGGAAATTCTGACACATGCGGCAACATAGACAAACCCTGAAGATACTACGTGAAGTGAAATAAACCATGAGCAAAGGACACGTGTTCCATCTGGAGGGGTCAAATTCACAAATTGTGGAATGGTGGTTGCCAGGGGCTGGAGGGCAGGGGAAATGGGTGGCAGTGTTTAATGAGTAGAATTTCAGGTTTGCAAGATTAAAGAAGTTCTAGAGATGGATGATGGTGATAGTCGCTCAAACTGTAAATGCACCTAATGTTATGGAAATGTATACTTAAAAAAGGTTAAAATGGTGAATTTTATATTTAATTACAATCTTAAATTTTTTTTGTTTTAAATTGTCTTTCAAAAAAATCCCAGGTCAAGAAATTTGCCAATCTTATGGGCTGAAATCTTTGCCTCTCTTTGACTTCCTCAAAATCTAACTGACAGCTGTATGGAGGGCCTGCAGATCTGAGCTGAACCGCAGAACTTCTGCTTAAACTCTGTTGAGAAAATGGGGGCAGGCCCACCTTTTCATCCTAATGGCTGAATTCTGGCAGTCTTTGTGTCATGGATTTCTATGGAACTGGCAGAGGCTACATGGAAGGGTCTTGGGGGACAAGGGTTAGATGCTGAATGTGCTCCCGTGGGCCCTGAGCTGCGGCCTCGTGGCAGCAGGTGGTGGCTAGGGCTTACCTCCTGGTAAGGGTAATGGGAACTGTGGCCCTTTACAGTCTGCAATCTCCTCGTACTTTCTGTGGGATGTTGGGTAAATCACTGAATCCTCTCTTTTCCTCAGTTTCCACAGAGAAACTGCAGCACAAGGATTGAGGCAGCGTTTGCACCTCCCCTTGGAGCGATCGCACACAATATAAGCGGAAGCAGCTTGTAGTTACAAAATGCTGCATGCAGAGTGACCACTGCTCCTGTGCACCTTATCTGTCTCTTTTCTTCTCTTTCAATTTTCTTTGATTTCCTCAGGGGGTATTTGGGCCCTGGGGTGTAGACCTTTGGCCTACAGGTCCTCAGTCTGGTTTCTTGCTCTAGAAGAAACAGATCTAATTCTACCTAGGAAGCTCCCCAATCCCTCTTCCTATTTCTGTGCTCTTGGACTGTCTCTGACTTTGGATTCCACCCAAACACCCTGTCTACCAACAACTAGAGAAGGAAGTGTTGGGATGCTGACTGTCGCAAGAGCTCATGGGGCAACTGGGAAGATTGTGTTATTAATCTTCTATGCACTTTGTGATTTCCAGTCAAGATTGAGGAAGAAAACTGAGATGAGGTTGTTCAGACTTTCAGGTCTTAAAAATAGAAAGGCAAAGCAACTGGGGTGGTAGAGCCCACGGACCATCACATCCCAGGGGAGGGTTGTCACCCAAAGACCCAGGTTGGCTCCTGAGCACAGACCCCCCCCACTGCCAGCTAGGACCTTCCTCATATAGAAAAAACAAAATTTTTAAAAGTTTTGTTTTAAAACCTCGAGGAGATAAAAACCTCTAAAGAATGTGAGTTCTTCCTGTTAGTTTTATGTAAAAACAGACATTTTGTCCCACATAAAACTTTGAAGTTTTCAGTAAAGGAGCCCTGGGTCTAATTGGGGGGCTCTGAGGAAAGCTACAGCCATGGACAAGGGCCTCAGTAGCCACTCTGCCTCCCCACTTGGGTCAAAAATCCAAATCTTCTCATTGTGGAAATGTTTGTATCTCTGTCACACCCAAATGCAGCGTTTCAAAATAAACATAACTTCTTTCCCTACCCGTTCCTTTGTGATTCAAGAAAAATTACCTGACCTGGTCACATTTTTTTTTTTTTTTTCATTTCTGCAGTAACAAAGTATTATACTGGGCCTGAGTGTAACTCAGAGTGACAGAATTATTTTCAAGACCTACTGACTGCCAGTCTCTCTTATTTACTAGTTATATAACTTTTACTCTGCACCACTCTGAGCCTCAGTTTCCTCATGTATGAAAGGAGAGGCCCTGTGTTTATTCCAGCATGCTGCCAGGAATGATAAGAAATTTAAATAAGAGTCTCTCTGTGAAACCACGAAGAACCACATGACTGTGAACTTCTGTGTTTCTGTCATTTGTTGATCTTTCTGCTCTTCCCTTCTCTCTGTTTCTTCCAAAACAAAGTGAGTACCACATAGACATAAGCAGGGAGCTGTGGCAGTGGATGTGGATGGGACCATGGGGCTTGTGAAAGCTTTTTGGAGGATGTGACAGTGGACTTAGCATGGTGAGAGGGCAGGTACTCCATGCTTGGGAAGGAAGCTGAGTAAAGGCCTTTCGAGTCAGAGAGTGACCTCTTAGGGCTGATCTTCTGGCTGGAAGAGTATTAGTTTTCTCTGTGGAATTTGGTCTGTGTCGGACCCAGCCCAAGGGGGAAACCATCCTGAGAGAGAAAGACTATCACCAGGAACAGAGAGAAGGAGAGACTAGAGCAGAGGCACCTGACCAAAAGGGGGAAGGTAGGTCAGGCCTGAAGGTGGGGCTGGCGCTCTCATGTGCAAGTTTTGTCCTTTACTCTGCATAGGGCGAGGAACATGGAAATTCTTTTGGTGGAATGAAAGTCTGAGTGACATGTGTGTGGAATCTTGAGTTTTACAAAGCCAAAAGGAGCATTACAAGTAAAGAGAAAAAAGCATGTGCCTTCTGGAGTTCTGAGGGAGCAGGGAGAGTTTCACCCTGGGTTCAGAGAAGGACTGAGTGGGCTGTTGGTAGATGATGGGTGAGGTGGGCAGAGTCAGTTATATCACGGCACAGCTGATTAGAACTCGGCGTCTGTGGAGTCAGCAGGGTTGGTAGATCATACTTCTAACCAGACCTGAGCTATGGTCATAATAATGAGCAGTGCTTAAGTTTTAAAAGTTTATTACGGTAAGAGACACATTGGTGTTTGTCCCCTCAAAGAATTCCTGCCTTGTTCTGCCTACGAAGTCTCTCGACACCCTGCTTCGCTGTTTCTGCTCTGTTCGGCTGTCTCTGACTTAGATTCTACCACAACACATGTCTGCAGTCTGGTTGCCTTTTCTACTAGCAACTATATTTCCCCCTGATTTGAACACACTTATCTCATTGTTTTTTGCCACGTTGTAAAGAAATTCTCTCTCATGAGTGTATTTCCGAGGTGTGATTAGAGCGATGGTGACCACTGCCGCCGAGGGCCATCCACCAGGGCGCCCGGCATTCTCGTCTGCCTTACTCACCACGTGTGACACTTGCAACTCCCAGCACCTCCCAGAGTGAAGATGACCATGAAAAATAAATGTTTTGAATTGATTCAGGACATCAAGGAGCAAGGGCAGTGCACATAAAGACACTCAGAAAAGAAGACTTCCAGAAATGCTTCAGAAAGAATGAGACTGTGGGCTTGAAGTGAGGGGTCATACTGTAAGAGAGATCAATGGTAATGCACCCTGCGCTGTAACAAAAGCAAAGGAAAATGAAACAATCACTGTATTTCTCAATCGTGCCTCGTATTTGTGTCAGCCTGTGTTGGAAGGAGGACGCTGGCTACAAGTGAGTTACAGGCAGATGCGCTTGAGGAAGAAGGCCCTGTGAAGGCTGAGGAAGGAGGCCCTGTGAAGCCTGAGGAAGGAGGCCCTGTGAAGGCTGAAGTGCTTTGGGGAAGGGACGCGGCAGGCTGGAGTGAGGCCTTGGGAGCAGGTGAGTCGAGGGGTGGGGAGGGGCTGTGGAGAGGAAGGGCAGTAGGGTTTTGGGGCCTGGGAGACTAGCCACACATCTAGAGGCCGACTGCACTGATCCAGCTCTGTGAAAATACCTGTGGGACTGGCTCTTGATTTAAGAAGAAACTTTTTGGTTCCAGAACCCTTTTGTACCCTTAAATACTTTCAAGACCTTCAAGAGCTTTTGCTGCTGAGGGTTATATCTACCTATTGAAATATATACTTTGTTGGAAACTAAAGCTGAGAGATGGAAAGTAAATCCATTTGTTTTTAAACAACAGTAAGTCAATTAAAATTTTATGAGAACTTTATCTTCTAAAACAAAAAAGTAAGAAAAATGGCATGATTTTTTTTCAAATCTCTTTAATGTCTAGTTTTATGGAAAACAGCTGGATTCTTATTACTGCTTTTGCATTTAAACCATAGTAATATTATAGGACAGATAGTCTCAGGAATATTTCATGGGATACTCATGACAGAAAATAAAATTAATTTTTAATAATGTCTTTTATTTTATTTTATTTATTTTTGTGTCCAACTCAGCCCACCTGGGCAGCAAGGCTGGCACAGCATGGGGTGCTGGGGATTGAACTGCCATCCCTAGGCTTGCCTAAGCAGGCACTTTAGACCATTGAACTATCTTGCTGGCCCCAGAAAATAAAATTAAAAAAATATATCTTAGTGTTATTCTGAAATTATTATTGAAATTACCAGTATAAAATTAGGAGTTATATTTTTTTACTTCATGGATTCCCTGAAAAAGTCTTGGGGCCCTCCAGGGTTCTCTGGACCACCTTGTGAGGACCACTGAAGTAGACACGTCATAGTCTGTTGAATGCCAGCATTCTGAGTTCCCACAGAACTCTGTTTATATAGTGTGCATGTGTGTGGCATTGTGTGGCATGGCTTATAGTTGTGTGTGTGCTGGTGCTCAGCACAGGTCACAGGGTCTACAGAATGGCCTGTGCAGGAGCTCCACACTGAAGGAGGGAGAGAGGAGAGAGCAGGACAGAGGTCAGAGAGTCAGGCCAAGCTGGATAACCTGCAGGAGCAGAGTTTCAGGTAGAAGCAGTCCATGATTTAATTTCAGCAGGCACTTAAACACCTGAGCTAATGGAAGGTCCATGATTTTAAAACTGAAAATAATGAGTCAGAGCATGGTTCCCAGAATCAAAAGTAGCAGAGAGGCTGGCAGAGGCAAGGGTGAGAATGCTGCAGCACTTGGCAGTGAGAAGGTGGCCTTGGGGCTGTTGCAGTATTGCGTGGTGGTGGCACTGCTCTGGGAAGAGCCAAGCAGGAGAAGAGCGAGTGAGGACTACAGCAGAGGCCCGGCTATCCAGAGGTTGGATGCGCAGTGTCCTCTGCCTGCTGGACCCTGGACTCGCTGGCTCTGCCCCAGCCGCTGCATCAACCTGCATCGTCATGGACACAGCAAAGGATTCAGATGGAGCAGTAGGATGGATACTGAGGGACCAGCCATGCTGAGGGAAGGACAGGGCAAAGGAAGCCTGCAGCAATCTCCGGTGAGCAGGACTGCTAACAGACAAAAATGGAAGACAACCTAAACTTCCAATCTTTGCCATATGACTAAGCCATGGAGAGGAACACCCATCCATCCATGCATCTGTCCATTCATCTGTCTGGCCATCTATCCCTCAACAACTACACATTGGAATAACTACACATTGGCTGTTTCAGATTCTGGGGGTACTGTGGGCAGCAGGACAAGTCAACTGGCCTGGAAAACATTTCCAAAATGCATTCTTAACAAGAAAAGGAAGTTGCCAAACAATATGTCCAGTGTGGCATCATTTATGTAAAAATCAGACCAAGCAACCCCAAAACTGTATTTGTCTGTGTCTATTAATTTTCAAGTTAAATGTGTAGAGAAAGTGCTGGAGACAGGCAGACAGTGAGCGGGCTTAGCAAGGTGGGCTCTAGGGAGCCGGGGTCTGCAGTATTCTTTATACTTTTGCATTGTTTGACATTTTCACAGGAAATATATTTTTCATGTTTATGGCTGTATTTAAAATTTCTTTGGAAAGATGTAGATCTTTTTAGGTAGAAGAGAGATTAGCTTGTCCCAAGTGTTCATGTTGGTTTAGTCATTGTCTCCTGAAAATACCATGATGAAGAATAACTATTTTCCAAAACAAAAGGATTAGTCCCCCGCCCCCACCCCCAGCCTCGTCACCCACAGGTGTAGCCCCGACAGTAATGCTCAAGAGGAAGGATCAAATCTGGTCCTCCCATGACATCAAATATTTATCCCTCTCTGCGTCCAAATTTCCTCTTCCTGTGCGGACACCAGTCATTGGATAAGGGCCAATGCTGACGCCTTTGTTTTAAAGGTCCTCTTTCCAAGTGTAATCGTGTCACGTTTAAACTTCAACATAGGAATCTGTGGGCCACCATCCAGCCCCTCACAGAGCCTCAGGCACATTTCCTTGGCCTCCTCTGAGTGCTGGGTGCCCTGCTCAGCACCTGCCACCCTGGGGTGTGGTTGGTGAACCCTGCACAGGCGTGTTGGGTTAAAGGCCTTTGAGAATGCACCAGCACAGCAGTCTGATTGCATCGGTGGCTCCCCAACCACACTGAGCAACAGAAAATCCCCAAGGGGACCAGGCTCAAGGTGATTTCCTGACTGATAAGGCTGGAGAGAGGGAGTGTATGTGGCTTGCCCTCAGTCCCCTGGCAGTGTGGCCGCTGCACTGCATAGAAAGCACCTGATGGACATTGTTTTTCCTCCAGTTTATGCCTGTGGGACTCTGCCAGGAGGAAGCCTGGGGCCGGACCTGCACAAGGTGCTGGCTGGCACAAAATGGAGCGCCCGAGCAAGATGGAGTTCTTCCAGAAGCTGGGCTACAGCCAGGAGGACGTGGTCAGGGTGCTGGACAAGCTGGGTGACTGCGCCCTGGTCAATGATGTCCTGCAGGAGCTGATCCAGACAGGCAGCCGCCCTACAGCTCAGGAAGCCTCAGACAGCAGCAATGGGCCCCTGTTCGTTCCCCGGGGCTCCTGTGGGGCCCCAGACTCTGCTTGGCAGGGCCCAGGGCCAGACCTGGAAGAGGACTGCAGTGACCCGGCCAGTTCTCTGCGTCCCATAGTGATTGATGGCAGCAACGTGGCAATGAGGTATCTTTCCTGCTTTTCCTCACTGGGTCACTGGGGGTGGGAAATGGGGGACTGATTCTCAGAAAGGCTATGAATCATCTCTGCTCTCTACGACTGTTCCGAAGAGCTTTGGGGCCAGTGGAGCAGGCTTAGAATCCCTGTCCACGTCTTACTGATGTACCTTGGGGACTGGCCCTCCTGAGAGTGCAGTATGAGAGTCAGGGTGGCACAAAATGATAGGGACAGGCCCCCTCTGCTCAGACTCAACCGGAGGGGGCTATTGCTGTTCGCACTTAGAGGAAACACACAAAGCTTTCTCTCCTCTGGCGAAGGCGTGGGTCCTGCGGACACACCCAAGGTCAGGTGTGGACAGACATGGCTGCTTCTCTGGACTGTGTCCCTCGCCAGCTGTTTGGCTCCCGGAAGATAAGAGTGCTCTGTTCCTCTTCTCTCTTCTGCTTCCCTCAGAGATGTGAGAATCTCGTGGGAGAAAGAAGAGCTGCACGGGAACCTGCTGCTGGGCGTTTGCTGGGGAGGGGCGGTCTCAGTTCCCTTGTTGGGTTTGACAAGAGTGTTTGTGTCCTCCTCTCCTCCCCTGAGCTGCAGAGTGGCTTGGCAGCCTTGTGCATTTTGGACACGTGGGCCTCATGCCTTGAGTGGCTGCTGTGCCTGGCTCGGCTGCACCCACTGTGATACTCTCTGTAGCCTCCCGTGCCCTGCCCTGGGTGAGGAGGTCATTGCTTGATCACGTGGATTATTCTGCCCCTTCCTTGGCTTGGTGACAGCCAGGCAAACACAGAGCTCTAGGAAACTGTTCACTCCCAGCTGCAAATATGTGCTTTCTTTTAAAAGTCAAGTGATAGAGAAGAACTCAGAAAAGCAGCTTCAGAGGCCTCCACCATGTCAACAGGCAGCCTCAGGTTTCCCCCAGGATTTGCCTTTGCAGGACAGATAGAAATTTGGAAAAAGATTCAGCACAACATAAGCCACCCTTGGGTGCTATCCTCCTACACCTACGTGTTTTATACTGAGAGCAGTGTGCCTTTTTTTTTTTTTTTTCTTTTAAAACCAGGCAGGTCTCCCATCTTATTATATTAACACATGATGAAGTCTAGAGTTCTGGCATTCTGGGAGGCTGAGGCAGGAGGATTGCAAATTGAGCTCAGTCTAGGCAACTTAGCCAGACCCTGTCTTAAAAAAAAGGAAGAAGGGCTGGGGATGTAACTCAATGCAAAGGGCCTAGATTCAATCCTCAGTAAAACACACACACACACACACACACACACACACACACACATACACACGACAAGATCCTCTTTCCCTGGACTTTGGAGCTGGCCCATGCAGGGTTGATCTCATATCCTCATGCATGTTCCCTACCAGGGAGCCTGTGGAATCCTGCACCAAGACCTGTAGCATGGTAATCCAGTAGGCTCTAAGGGTCCTGGAAGGAGCCTGGTCTCTGGGTGATCTAGATAAGGCTCCTCTTTCTCTCGCTGGGCATCAATAGAAAGAGGGCTGTGCATGTAAAATGATAATCATATAAATTAAAAACATTCCCAGCTTTAGATTCTAAACCAAAACAGTAGAGTGGAGACATGGTGAAAAGATCACTTCTGGGCATTATAGGAAAACATTAGCATTTTTTGGGGGGGACCAGAGGATACTTTTCGGAGCTGTTATGTGGTGGCAATGCCAGATTTTCTTTAGAGGGGAGTCTCAGTTGCTGCCTGGGATTCCAACTTAAACTACGTCCTTTATTTGCACATGGCCACGAGGTGTTCTAGGGGCCCCTGTCTGCTCCCACCACTGTCACAGCTGCAGTCAGTTTAATCTTATGCTCAGCCTGAAGGAGTTACACATGGAAACCTTTCACCAGACTAACTGTGAGGGGCCAGCCGGGGCCTGAGTGTTTGCACAGACTTGCTGCCTACAAAACACCTGAGTAACCCGAGTGCATTTTCTCTGTGTGTTCTCTGGGTATGTACATGGATGTATGTATACACATGCCACCCAAATCCATGCACACACCTGTGTATGCACGTGCAAATATGCATGCCTTCCCCCTGCATCCCAACAGGTAGGAAAAAGGGACAAATATACACAACCACATGGGGCCTACCAGCCCCTGTGATTGAGATCTAGGCAGAGACTGCCCCTTTGTAAGTGATGGCTGGTTGAAACCCAAACCAATGTGTCATTATCTGCTGACCTCAGAGCTCCAGTGACCTCAAAAGCAGGATTTCTGTCCTTCACTGAGGTTTGTTGCATGGAAGACACCCATGTCTTATGGATTTGAAAGTGAGGCTGCCCTTCAGGGACAAGGGGAGCGAAGCTGAGTGGGATACATGCCCTTTGTCCCTGAGCAGATGGGAGATGAAGCTTCTGTTGGCAAGAGCACTCTCAGAATGCCTACCGCTGGCTGCGACTGTCTCCCGGAGCCTGCGCTTGCCTGTGTCTGACAGTAGCCTGCCTTGTTAGGACAAATGTTTTTTGTTTTGTAAAATCATGACTTTAGGAAGTTGTGTTTGTGGTCCTTATAGATGAGCATCTTCTGTAGTTTATTACTGCCGTTTGCTGGCTTAAAACAACACGTGTTTATTCCCTTCCAGGCCTGGAGGCCCCAAGTCTGACACAGGGCTCCAGGGCTGCACTCAAGGTATCAGCTGAGCTGGGTGTTTTCTGGGAGCTCGAGTAGGGAGTCTGTTTTCTTTCATTTTTCTGCACTGCTGACTTGTGGCCTTTGCTTCCAGTGGGGCTTGAAACAACCCACACTGTGAAGCACATGTGTACACATGTCTGCGTTTCTCTGAGAAGATTCACAGCTTTCACTAGATATTTTAAGGGCCTGTGATAGCCCAAATATTAGCAATGGCTCACGCAGAATGAGAAATTGCCTGTGAGGCTGTGCTTTCTGATGGGGTTTCTTTTTCTCTGCCTTCTAGGAGGCACTAGGTTGTGTGTCCCTGCTCAGCCCAGGGATACTCGAGTGGGTGTCCATCCTTGGGCCTGACCCTCTCTCACCCAGGAAGGGCCTTGATGAGCTTGGCCAAGGTCAACAGTGGTTGAATCAGCCCTGACCTCTATGTGTTGGTTGTGGCTGAGCAAAGGCCTGTGCTAGATGCTGTCTCTGCAGGCTCATAGACCAGGTCACTGCCAAGGGCTTTTGATAAACAATGGGATGTATTTGTTCAGGGATTTGGGCTACTGTATGAAATATTTTATCTGTGAGGCATTTAAATAGAACAGAGCTAAGAGTTTAGCACTGCCATATGACAGACCTAAAGACCCTTTTGTCTCTTCACTGTAGCCATGCAGAAAGTCCACTGGGCTCTCATCAGTAGGACTAGTGGCTTATTCCCCCATTCATCAACAGTGAGTCAACTTTTCTCTTTCTTGTTCTGGGGATTGAAACCAAGGGCTTTGCACTGAGCTCCAGCTCCAGCCCATGTTCAGCATACATGCTGTTGACGTGAGTGTGCCCAGAGCCTTTAAAAAACTTTTAGTTTGAGCCATGGTTTTGCCAAGTTTCTTAGCATATACTTGAACTTGTGATCCTCTTGCCTCAGCCTCCCAAGGTGCTGGGATTACAGCTGTGTATCACCATGCCTGGCTGTAATGAGCCAACTTTAAAAAGAGTTCTATGTCGAAAAGTGGATGAGCATTAGTCCAGGACCTGGGGAACCAGGCTTAGGACCAGAGACAGGGTTCAGTGCCAGAAGGTCTGAGTTTGGACTTCAACCCAGGGCTGCAAGAAGCAACACTGCTATGATGGAAAGTCTTAGTCTGCACTATGTGCTAGGTTAGCCACTTGCCACACGTGGCTACCCAGCATGTGAGAAGTGGCTAGGGCGATTAAGGAATTGAATTTTAGATTGTATTTCCCTTTAATTAATTTGACGTTAAATAGCCACATCTAAGAAGCTGTGCAGCCTTGGGGCTTAGCTGATCAGCTGTGGGGTCTTGGCAAGTCCCTTTTTCAAGACCTATTCACACAGCTAAGAGGTTGGACTAAGTAATCACAAATCGATGACTTTTTCATCTCTGATGCATTAAGACACAAGCATATTTTGCTTTAAAGGAATTTCTCTTTTTCTTCAGAGGTTCAGAGAGAGAAAAAGCAACTTGCCCACCTCCTTGGACGGTGAGTTAGCTCTGGACGCCCTGCTCTCTGCAGTGCTGCCCAGCACCTGCTGCAGTTTCCGCAGCTGTGGCTTTCCCCCCATCTGGCCTTGGAGAGGGCCATGGGGTGGGATCCCTGGCGTTTGTCCCAGTGCCAGAGTCTACCGGTGCTGACCAGAGCCTGACCCAAGCAGGATAAACCTGGACCTGCCAGGGGCAGGCTGGATGCGCAAGGTCCCTGCTCCCTTCCCAGGGCTGGCTGCAGGGCTTTGTGCCCAGACCCTACTCCTGCCTGCTGCTGCCACTGTTGGGCCTCAGGTGCCATGTGTGCCTTTGATGGTGGATCTGAGGGACGGGCAGGCCAGAACTGTGTTTTTAGTTATAATCTATTTGTGGGGGGAGGGAGGGAGAGGAGGGGGAGAGAGAGAGAGGACTTGGGTTACTCAGTTGAATAGTTGGATACCTGAGTTGCCAGACATCTGGCTTTTTTTTTTGGTGGAACTGGGGATTGAACTCAAGCCCATGTGCTTGCCAGGGAAGTGCTTATTCCACTGAGCCATCTCCCCGGCCCCTTAATGGCAGAAGGATTTTTTTTTTTTTTTTTTTGAGGTGGGGAGGTCTGAACATGCCTTCAGGGCATTTCTGGTTTGGTGGGACTATCTGGATTCGAAGCAGTGCAACTTGAGCCTCATTGCTTTTTTAAGCAGGCACTTAAACAACTGAGCTAATTGGCAGGCCCCCACATCTGGCTTTAAAAGCAAGATGTCCCATAACTTTTTAGAGAGCAGGCACCTTGTATGGTGGCCTGTTAGCTGCATCATGATGTTTGAGAAGCATGTAGCTTCTCAGGTGTCATGGCGCAGCTTTATTTTCCTTTTTGTGATGCCCAAGAACTCGTAGCACCCAGCTGCTTCACATCCTAGAGGCAAATCTAGCCATGGTGGCTTCGAAGCCTCGAGCTTGGAGGGAAGTCACCTGAGAGTTTCACATCCTCTGACTGCTTCTGAGTTGGGTTTCATTTCAGTGTGTCCTCTTTTGGGGCAACTTTTTGTCTGGGTTTCTGTTTATACTTTAAAGCTCTTGGGAAACCTGGCAGGTTCTGCTTCTTCTAGAGGAAGGAATCTGTCAGTAGGAACAGTCTGGGTGGAAAGAGCACCTGTGTTCCTCATGTCCCTTTCAGTGGACCGTAAGCTGGCAGAAAGAGACAGGTAGGAGTGTGCTTCTGGGCTGGGGGTCAGACTCGCCTCTGAGTCCCTGAATCTGTTCTGACTAGCCTTCACCTTTGGCTCCTACTTCAGCCTGCACCTATTTCTCCTTTACAAGGTGAGGGCACCCAAGGCAGCCCCTGCCCACCTCCTCTTGCCCTGACTGCTGGGGTGGTGGGGGAGATCTCCTGGGAAGAAGGTTCAGAGTGCTGGCAGTTTAATGCTAAATAAAAAACAGTGGAAACAAGGGTGTCTCTTTATATTCCAGACCTCTAGCAAGTCATTGTTCCTTTCTCTCCCATTCTATACCCAGTGTTGCTCCCAGGGATGATTTTGTGAATTCACCTTCTGCAGCAACTTCCATGGCACCACTCAAGGATCCAGCAGGCTACAGGATGGTCTGGTTTCTACAGACACAGGGGCCGGGAGATGGCTCAATGGACTAAGCACAGAAACAGACAATGCCCCTACTCTGGCTGCCCCAGGCACAACTGTCACATTGGTGTAATTTACTTCAGGCACCAACCACTTCCCCTTTCCACCCTCACGCTATTCAAAACCTCTGGGCGCTCATTTCCTTTTCCCACCAGCCTGCTGTCGATGAGCCAGCTCTCAGTGCTGGACAGTAAGCCAGGAGTGCTCCTTTCTGCAGGAGCACTTAGCCTTGGGTGGCTTCTGCTCCTAGGAGCTGGCCCTGGGGCCCAGGGGGCTGGGTGCTGAGGGAGGAAGAGTTTGCAGCCAATGATCAGGCTCAGAGGGCAGGGGTGCTAGATCAGAGCCAGCCACATTGCTTCTCATCAGTTCCTTCAAGGGTAAAATGAGGGTGAAAGTTACTTCCTCAAGGACTTGTAATGATTAGATGAGATGAAATGTGCCAAGGGGCTTGGCAGACAGAGCTTTCTAGACATATCAACGATGAACTCTGAGAAGCAGGGGAGGGGAGCGTCTCTTCTTGGCACCAAGCGCCTTCCCGTAGTGGAGGTTCACAGTCAACTCTGAGACAGTGGCAAAGTCTCCAGAGGAATGCAGGCCTTTGGCTTATACATGTCCCCATTAAACCAGCATGACAGTCAATGCCTGATCACCTGTCAGGGCCTAGTTTTTCCTTTTACTAAATGTCCCCCACCTCTTAACCACACTCGCAATGAAAGTGTCAGGGAGGGCCAGGGAGATAGCTCAGTAGAATAAGTGCCTGTCTGGCAAGTGCCAAGTCCTGAGTTCAAGCCCCAGTACAAAAAGAATCAGGGAGAGGAAGTTGTCTTCTGAGGGATTAAAACAGAGCCCCAGAAACAGATTGATTAATATTGTTTAAAGTCATGGGACAGTGCTATTTCTTACCTGAGAAAGGCTGAGGCTAGATTGCTACAGTTGAGAGATGCTCACGTGTGGAGTGCAGGGGACCTATTGTTTGTGATACTGTTTTGAGCTGAACTGAAAATGATAACCTCTCCCCATTTCCAGGTAGGTGTTTGCTGATGCCAGCATGGTGGCATCTCTGTGTCTTGTCTTCAGGGCAATTCAGGCTCATGTTTCCCTTCATTCCCCCTAGTCCTCTTTCAAGTGACCTCTGGGATCTGCGACTGGGTGTTGGATAGAACAGAGCTCTTGGCTCTCATTCACGTCTCAGTGGCCAGATGACATAGGAGTGTCATGCGTCCCTTTGGCATTTTTGTGAGTCATGCTGGCTTGCAGTGCTCTCTCCTGGCAGGCACAGGTCCACCCTAGGTGTCAGACTAGACCTGCAAAGAACCTGGTGTCCCTTTGGGCTCCCCTGTTGACCATTTCCTCTAAGGCAGCCCTGCAGAACTAGGATTTCTCTAGGGCATGCAGCCCGTGAGGCTGAGCTGGGAAAGCCGACTTCAGCCTCCTGCGCACATTGATGTTTCTACATCCCCCTCTTCTTTGGGCTCAGTGAGGGGAAAGGACCTCCTTATCCACTGCCATCTCCTTTTCTCTTCCAGCTTCCCCTGGGATGGAAGGCACTAGTGACCCACCTCGTATCATCTTGAGTGTTGTCTTACCTTTCTCCTCGCTAAGACAAACTGCCCAACACTAAAAGTTAAAACAGGAAAAGTTTATTTCAGCTCACTGTTTATAGAGGTTTCAGTCCGTAATCAGTTGGCTCCAAGGCAGGGTGACACAGCAGAGGGGCATCACAGAGGAGAAGCAGTCCATGGCAAACAAACCAAGCAGGAGGCATCAAGGCAGCAAACAGCAAAGTTCACTTTCCTTTTTGCCCCATCCAGGTTCCAAGCCTTTGGGTGGTTCCATCCATACCCAGGGTGGCCTTCTCACTATCCACACCAGAGTTATGTTGGACCAGTTGGTGGGCAAATTTAGAACCACATATACTTAATCCAAGTATCAGATAGCTTTGATCCAGCCAACCCCCAAGGCCCCCCTCTGAGTGCGTGAAGCCTTGGGGACATATCTCGATACAAACCACAGCAAATATTTTCTCCTTACCATGTACAAGCCTCCTAGTGCAGCCTTAAGGGCCAGAGCAGTGTGCTCCCTTTACCAGGAGAGGCTCCATTCCAGGCTGCAAAGCCTGCGTTCTCATTGGTTATTGAAGCTGAAGGAATTCTGCCAGCCCTCTGGTACCCCCACAAAGCCTGACTTCCATTACCATTGATAGTGCTTCATAGACTTGTGACTGTTCTTAGCCCTGAGAAAATAACAGGAAAGGTCACACAGGGAAGACAGCATGGTAAGGAAGATTTAAGTGTGGTTCTGTTCCAGACTCAGGCTGACTGCTTCCTGCCAGGTTTTGCAGGTGCCTCTGCTCGCAAGAACCCCTCCCTCCCTCAGTCTCCCCTGTCCTCCTATTCCTTGGAATATTTTCCCTGTGGAGCTAGAGTGCTATGTTCTTATCACCAGCTTCCTGGTTCTAGTATGGGCTATAGTTTGTATGAAGAAGCACTGTCTTTAGAACGCATATCTGCCTGGTTCCTTCTTGGTAAAGAGACTGTGATCTAGGCTATTTCTAGGGGAAATCACTCTTGGGAACTCTGCCTATGTCTTCTCAGATTTCTTTGTCTTTCTATCATAGCCATGGAAATAAAGAAGTCTTCTCTTGCCGGGGAATCCAGCTGGCTGTGGACTGGTTCAAGGACAGAGGACACACCTATATCAAAGTTTTTGTTCCATCCTGGAGGAAAGAGCCATCCCGATCCGACACCCCTATCAGAGGTAAGCTGGGCAGGTACACGCTTGAGGAGCACTGAGTGCTCTTCCTTCCTTGTAGGTGCTCCCCAGTTGAGGTCAGTTCCCTTTCTAGCGATTGGCTTAATCCAAACAACTAATTTAAGAGCTCCATGAGATCACTGGCCATGGCTGTTCAGTCCTGGCAAAATACCTGACACACAGTAGATGCTAAAAAAGAGTTAAACAGATGAATAAATAAATACTCTGTCTTTTAGTGTGAACGCTTACGTTCCCCAAATGATTGTGTCTTACAACTTTCAACACCAAAGAAAGATCGGCTCTGCAGGACCAGAAAGAGACCTTATTCTGCCAGGCAATATTTATTGTGTACTAGACAGCTTGTCCCTCCTGTTCATTTAGAAGAATTTTTTTTTTTTTTTTTTTTTTTTTTTTTTTTTGCTCAGGCTGCCTGAAGGGCAGGTCTGGTGAGGCAGGTGGAGCTGGGGATTGAACCACAGTAGTATCCTGCGCCTGAGTGCGTTTGCATGAATAGGCACTTAAACAACTGAGCTAGTGGCAGGCCCCCTCTTCTGTTCATTTAATACAAATGGTTTACATATGTACATGGGATGACTTGGATAATTGTACTGCTGACTTAGGCTGGTCTACAGAGGGGGCTAGTTGATGCTTATATTCTTGTTTTTCTTGTCCTTTTAATGTCTTATAACTTTTTGCTTTTCTTAAAAAATTAATTTTGCATGCTTATATTTGGTAATCCAAACAACTAATTTGAAGACAACATTATGCAATATAGTAACCTTTGTTAAATTCCTATTGTTTTGTTTAGTGGTGTTCTGGATCATCTCTAATATTTTGTCATTTTTCTTTTACTATTTTGTATTTTCTTTAGATTAAAAAATCATAATTGAGATCTAGGAAATTCTTTAATTCTTATATTAGCTAAGAATATTTCAGCAACAAACAAGTGATCAAGGTGGTTTAAACCTACTGGTTTCCTTTGGTTTTTGTTCAGCTCTGGGGCAGCAGGAAGTCGAGCTGTGCCTTTGTTGGCATGCGTTCAGCCAGGCCAGCACCTGGAGACCAGCCTCTCACTTGAGCTGGGAAACTTCCTTGGCACTTTCTTCTTGTCTTTTTACCAAAAATTTTTGTCCTTGTCTGCGATTTGTTTTTAATTCTGTCAGTGGCTACCAGTTTCTTCTGTCTCCTTTACCTTTTCTTTATTTTTAAAATAAAAATGCTATTCTTGTCTATGGCTGCAACATCTTCCTCAATATTTCTATAGTAATATAAAGTTTTTCAAGTTCTCTTAATTTCCGCAATGCTATTTGCTCTCTGCTCTCTCCCCCCACCCCAAGCTCTGGTGGTACTCTATCCCTGCACAACTGCCCTGGGCTTTCTCTTCTAGTATGGGGACTTTTCCCTGAAAGGAAGGGCTGCTCCTTGGTGCTGACCTTCTTCCACACACCCCAAAGGGGGCAAGCAGCCAGTGCTCACCAGGTATCTGGTGCAACAATGACAGGAATTTTATTCTAAGGGAGCAGCATGATGGGACCATCCTTCTTCCTTTATTTATAGTCCCTGGGTAGGATGTGGGCCACTTGTCATGAGTAGCCCTCCCAGGAGCCAGCCTGCCCTGGCCAGCGTCCACCCTCATGGACAGCTTTGTGGCTGCACAGGAAAAGGCCCTAGCTCTGCGTCAGCCTTGTGCACACACTCGGGGCTGTGCTGCCCTCCCTGCGCTGAGGTTAGTGTGGTCCTCTCTGCTTTCCGTCCTAGAATTTATCAAAATCCTGCACCTGCTGTTGTTCCCAAGCCCATTTTTAATATGATGGAGTTCCCTTTTATACCTCTTAGCTGTCATTTCAGTGGAATTTATGGAAGTAAGGGGGACACAAACATTATTACCTCCAAATAATTCTTTATGGCATAAACATGAAGACTAGTATCTTTCAATTATTCATTCCATGTGTAAATATAATATAGCTAAAGGGTAGGAAAATTATTTTGGGGTAGGAAAGGAATTTTAAATCAAGCTATCATAAGGGCAGTACAGTGGAGGAAGATGAATAAAAATATCACTAAAGGAAAGTACGACTTAAACTTGGGAAGCTTGCACATCACATACTACTGATGAATAATTAATATTTACATTTGTAGAAAACATTTTCAAATTAATGAGACAAAGGGAATGAACCAATAGAAAAATGAGCTAGGGAAGAAAGAGTCTTTCATAGAAGAAAAAACAGAAATGGCCAATAAACCTATGCAAAGGTGCTCAATCTCATTATTAAGCAAATATAAAATAAACCACCACAAGGGCACTTTGTATTCAGTAGATTAATGAAAATTATTAGAGAATTTCAAAGGAACATTCTAGAGAGTTCCTTGGACTTCTGTACCTGGGACCTACTCACAAGTTGAGTGGAGTGACCCTAGACAGCCAAACTTCTCCAGCCATAGTCAATGAAAAAAGCAGTTGTGCAAGTGCATGCAGAATCCGATTCCATTTGCACACACTGCGAAGTTCAGTGTGTGGCCATATTGGAAATGGTTCTCATACACACATATTTCTAAATTAAAACATGAGAATTATGGTTTATCAAACACTGTGCTATAAAATATGAGGAATCTTAAGGTAACGGAGAGGACTTGTAAGCTTTGAGGAGCAGCAGGGGCTTCCCAAGCACGGCCCACCTGGGGCTTCTCACAGTTCATGACACTTTTTATTGCACTTTGTGCCACAAATACATTCTGTATCTTCTTTAAGTCTGAAAATCATGCCTTACTGGAAGGGACTTAAACTTGAGGGAAGGAATAATTTATGAAGAATAGGTTAATACTTTGGCTAGGTAACTAGTATATGGAGAAGAGGTTTTCCTTGCAAGTCTCCAAAGGCAACTCTAAGCTAAGCAGTGGCCCTTCCCTGGGCACAGACTGTAGCTTCTCCTAGGAGAGACGCGGGTCCACCTCCTTCCTAGTTTTTTCCAGACCTCTTATTCACCTGAGCTTGCTCCAGCTGCTCACAAGTACACGAGATAGGTAAAGGAGGTGTAGACACCTCATTTTATGACTGTAGCACCTAATGTTAAAGAGGGGTGAGAAACTAGAGCTCACCTCAGAATGTAGTCTGTGTTCTGAGTCCCGGACTCTTCCTCTTACGTTTTTGAGTCACTCAGAGTTGTCCATAGCAGGATGCTTCAGCTCAAGGGTGGCTGAGAGACACTTGTGGGATGCTTCTCAGTAAAGGGCCCACCCAGGAGCCTTCCAGGTGGGGGCCAGGCTGCTAATCATCGCTAAGGCACCACCAAGGTTCCAGTCAAGACAGGGTGTCCATCCCCAGAAGGAGTCCCCAAAGTCTACCACTCTAGGGCCAGTGTGGCATGTAAGCCTCAAAAGTACAAGAGCTGTGGCTAATATCTTCCTTCTGAGGGGGCTTTCACAGACTGAGTACCATATTCTGAACTCTTTCTTAACCCAGGAAACACAGAAGCCAAAACTACCTTGGTCTTGGGCTGCCGGAAAAACTAGTGAAATTTAGGGGGAAAAATGAGTATCAGGAGTGGGAGGAGAAACTGGTGTCTGCTTCCATCTGACTGGGGAGGAGGATGGCGCAGAGTGGCCCCGACTGTGGTCTCTGCTTGTGGTCCCAGAGCAGCACGTGCTGGAGGAGCTGGAGCGGCAGGCGGTTCTTGTGTACACCCCATCCCGCAAGGTGAATGGCAAGCGGGTGGTCTGCTATGATGACCGCTACATCGTGAAGGTGGCCTATGAGAAGGATGGTGTCATCGTCTCCAATGACAACTACCGAGATCTGCAGAGTGAGAACCCCGAGTGGAAGTGGTTCATTGAGCAGAGGTTGCTCATGTTCTCCTTTGTCAATGATAGGTATGGGACAGGGGGCCTAGAACCCAGGGCTGGGGTGACGGCAGAATGCTGTTCTTATGAATAGGCAAAGCTGGGCTGGGGCTTGCAGGCACACCCAGTTTTATAGGTGGTCCTGGCCCATTACCCACTTGGTCTCCCTGGGCCATAAAGGACTTCTGCTGCTCTGGGTCTCTTCACTTCTGTGACAGCTTCCAGGTGGGTCCTTTCACCCACAGGGCAGTTTGGTCCCTGACTCTTTAGTTTCCATGGCCACATCCAATTGACTCATGGCAAACTGCCCAACAGGTGGGCTAGGGTGTGAGCTTGGGGCATCAGAAACTTCTTTTATTTTAGAATTTAATTGTCCAAATAAGACCTTTGAAATAGCCATTATGGGAAAAAAAAATCTGGATTTTGTTGTATATCCTTTCACTTATTTTAAGTGTTTTTTTTTTTTTTTTTTTCTGCCAGGAATCAAACCTAGGGCCTTGAGCTTGCTACGTAGGTGCTGTGCTGCTGAGCTACTACCCTGACACTATTATAGGTTTTTTAAAAAAAGTTTTGAATTACATATGGGAGGGAGTAGAGAGTTTTTCTTTAGGCAGCAAAGACCTTAAATCTGCCTGAAAATGGCTGTCCTCCTGGTTGAACTGGACAGGAGAACCTGTCAGTCTGCTTGGCTCCAAGGCTAGTGCCCTGAATCAGGTCAGCTCTGTACCAAGCAGCGGTGGCTGGAGGGTAGGGATGCCAGGCACTTGGTGAGGGCCTTGACCCTGAGCTAAGGCGGGGAGGGGACAATGACTTGTCTACTGCCAATGTGCTTGGGAGCCTGGACAGTCAACTGTGGGCCTGGGGTCCAGGCTGGTGTGGTGCAGCCAGCAGGGACATCATTTTCACTTCAATTTTTATCCCAGGCAGTGAAGGCTCATCTCTGATTCTGGGCTTTTCAGCTAAATTTTTGGGACTTTTTTTTAGAGAGGATCTCCAACTCTAGAAGAGTAGTGACTATATTGGCCATGTCCTAGCATGCCTGGCACGGAATACACAGTGTCACAGGAATGCATGAGTGAATGAGTCCATAGATGAGTAAACGGGCAGCTGTGGGGGTGGAGGAAGGGGAAGGGGGAGAACAGTCACCTGATCAGCTGCCCTGATCACGACAGGGCAGCTCTCCACCCTGGGGCCTTCCTGTGCTGTGGGGAGAGCTGGGGTTTGCTGTGGTCAGTGGTCATGGCCATCAGTTACCACGGGCTGAAAGTGAGATCACTGTGCAGACTACAGGGAATTGTCCCCTACACTGCTAACTGATCCCCCAAGGCTAGATGGGGACAGAGCACCCCTGGGACACACTGTTGCCCCCCTCCACTGTCACTGAGAGGGTGGAGATGGCCTCCTGAGCCCTGGGGCAGGTGCTCACCAGTGACCATTTGATTGTCATTTCCAGATACACAGGGCCAGCTGCTCTCCCTGACTAGCTTTGGCTTGGATGTCTGGCAAACCTTGTGATTGTGGGTTCCAGAAATCCTCACTGAGGGCTGATGGGTCATGGCTGCTTCTGGCTTGGTGATAGCGAGGGGCCCAGGCCAAGTCTGTTGGACACATTGGTCTCTGCTAATGGGCGACCAGGTGGTGTCTGCCTGCCTGACCATGAGTGAGGGCCTCTGGCCCCCCCCCCCCCAACCCCTGGACCCTGGCCATAGTCACAGGGCCTTCTTGGCATTTTTCTTGCTCCTGAGGGCAGGTAGTGAAGACTTTGGGAACTTCTAATAACTGTAGTGGGCGGGTCCACAGAGTTTAGGTGAGGGGCCAGCTCTGAGAAGCTGGCTATAGAGACTGGTGCTGAGCCATGGAGACTGCCCTTCCAGGACAAGTTAGTTCATTGTGACTCTGAGACTCTTGGGGGTAGGGGGCAGCAACCCATGAGACAGTCCCTGCTCCATTTAGAATCTATTAGATCCTCCCTGGTTTCAAATCTCCCATTGAGAACCTTTGTGTAGCCTGAAAGGGTCTCCTGGGAATGAAAGCATTCATTTAAAAAGGAAGATATGAAACAGGGGTGTTTCCCGCCTGAGACACTCTTGCCCTTGGATCCCTGAGCACCTTGAATATACATTGCCTTCCTTGTCAGAGCTCTGGGCCAGGGAGGAAGAGGGGCAGGCTGCTGCCAGAGAACTACACGTGCAGAGCTAGGGAAGCAGAGATGGCACCCAGAAGCCCTGGGCTTGCTGGGTAGAAGCTGCAGTGGCACTTTGATGCTGTATTCTGGCTGCCTTTGTTGGCTTCACTGAGGCACTGGCTGTCAGTACTGACCCTTTACCTACAGATCCTGTGTTGCTTTTGGTATGATCCTGGCCTAAGTCCCAGGAGCTCATAGAGCGCCCAAACCTTCTGTTGGCGGAACTGGGGATTGAACTCAGGCCCTTACGCTTGCCAGGGAAGCACTTATTCCATGGAGCCATCTCCCTGGCCCCCCTTCCAAACCTTCTGTTAACTCCATGGCAGTTCTTACCCTATGAGGTCAGTGGGAAGCTGGGGAGTGGGGGTAGAGCAGGTATGCTTCAATTTTCCTGGAACAAGATCTGGGAGACTGGGTGTGGTGACTCACACCTATAATCCCAGCTCTCGGGAGGCTGAAAAACAGGAGAATCACTGAGTCTGATCTGTGTAGTGAGACCCTATACACCCTGTAGAGCTTGTCCTAAATACATTAAAAAAAAAAAAAATCTCCTGGGAAATTGTTAAAATGCAAATTTATGAAGAACTTCAGATTCTGATTAAGCAAGTGTGTGTGACCTCCAAGATCATATCCATGTGCCGCTGCTAGGCAATTCTGTGCTGCTGGCTTGTAACACTCGGGGAGAGAGTCTGGGGTAGAGCTGGAACTGTGCTGTGCTCATGGGCCCACACGAAGGGGCGCAGCTACTGCCCTGAGTGCACGGTCCATGCCACTTGGTGCTTGCTCTGTGGCCTGGGCCTGCACCCCCAGCTCCCATACAGAAGCCAGCGGTAAATCTGTTTGGTCTACCCCTCTGTGCTTACATCCTAGGTTCATGCCTCCTGATGATCCCCTGGGCCGCCACGGACCCACTCTGAGCAACTTCCTGAGCAGGAGGCCGAGGCCCCCAGAGCCGTCCTGGCAACACTGCCCCTACGGTGAGTAGTGCCCAGGGCCTTCAAACCCCTGTTCAGGGACTGGCAGGAGCAGCAGAGGGGCACAGTCAAAAGTGCTGGTCAACAGCCTGGGTTTCTTCCCAAGTTCCGCCCTTGACCAGCTGTGTGTCCCTTGTGAGGTAGCTTAACCTCTCTGTACTGCAGTTTATGGGCAAGGCTACTGTAAGACTGAACTGACACCTGAGACTGTTGCATGGAGCTTTGGGGCTGGATGTCAGAGTCACATAGGGGCAAGGCTGTGCCATGTGCCCCTAAGTCTAGTTCTCAGCCTTTTCACTCTGTCTCCATCTTGCCCCACTGTCGCCCCTACCTCTGCCTAGTAGGAGTACTCATTAAGAGTAAGGATTTTCCCCCAGCTGACCTGTTGCTCAGCCTGTGAATGGCCCAGGGCGCTTCTCACCTCTGCCAGGCACCCAGACCCCAGGCCTTCTTGGGGACTCTGGGAAGAGAGGCCAAGGCCTGGCACTGCTGGAACCTGCTGCAAGGCCTGCCCCTGCATCAGGTCTCACTCTTTGTTCTCTCTGCTCTGCCCCTTCCAGGCAAGAAATGCACCTACGGCATCAAGTGCAAGTTCTACCACCCGGAGAGGTTGCACCGCGTGCAGCTGGCGGTGGCGGATGAGCTACGTGCAAAGACGCGGGCCCGGCCGGCTCCTCGGGACCCCGGCTCGTGCAGCCTTGCCCCAGCGGCCCTGGCTGCCCTGCGAGGGGGCTTCTCGCAGTTGGCTGTCAGCGACAACCTGGTACTCAGAAGCGGCGGCGCTGGCAGCCCTGGGCAGCATTGCCCCGGGGAACTGGGGCCGAGAGTGCGCGGCCTCCCACTCCAGCGGAGCCCCAGCACCGCGGGCAACCTCCCGTCCCAGCTGTGCACGCAGGCTCAGCGGTGGGGCGCACTTGGCTCCAGGGTCCCGCTTCTCCTGCGCAGCCCGCTTGACGACCATTGGGCCCCGCTGCCCAGTTCTGATCGCTTTCTGGGTCGCGGGGTCTGGACAGAGCCAGTACAGGGCAATAGCGCCTCCAGGGGACCTTCCGGTCCGCTCTCCCGGGGGGTAGAGCACCAAGTAGACTCGCACTCTCCAGCAGCGTCTTTCCGCTAGACTGGCCGACAGGTCGCTTGGATCCCTTTTCTTTTTCATGTGGCCAGGTGCTTCTGGCACGAGCAGATAGCACATGGGCGGTCCCAGTAAGTGGCCCTGTTTTGCCTGGCAACTTGGGAAAATGGACCGATCAGTGGTTGCCAGCCCGGGCCTGAGGCCACCCCGTCAGGACCCCGTTTCAGAAAATCTGCTTTCTTCTCTTTTACAGTAGGTGCCCCCATGGTGGCACTTGGAGACCCTCACTGAAGGAGGTTTGGTTTAGAACAGCTATTTGTGTCCAGCTGCAAGTGGGTCACAAAATCCATTCAGTGTTGGTGGCACACTTGTAATCCCAGCATTCTGGCCTGAGGTGCAAGTCTGCCCCCTGCCTGGGCAATTTAGTAACTTAGTGAGATCCTGTCTCAATATAAAAACATTTCAAAAGGGCTGGGGATGTATTTTAGTGCATAGGCCTTGGGTTAAACTCCTAGTATCCAGAAAGAGGAAGAAGAAGAAGAAGAAGAAGAAGAAGAAGAAGAAGAAGAAGAAGAAGAAGAAGAAGAAGAAGAAGAA